TGCTTTTTATTTTTAATATTTATACAAATTAATATTAAATTTATATCGGTAAATAAATAAACCAAAATACTTTTATTAATTATTTCTTTACATTGCTGTTAAGATTAAAAAATAAAAAAACTTATGAAAACAAGAAAAAGAAAGAACACAATTAAAAACAGATAAACATAAGGATTCTTGGATCAAGCTTCTTCTTCTCATTCTCTTAATCTTCTGTTCTTGGTGGTAGATTTTTAAGCAAATAACTGCTTCAACAAATAAAACCATCATCATCGTCACTCATATAAGAAACTAACGATTCATTGACATAATGACTGTACGGAAAAGCTTGCATCAGATTGTCTATTGACTAACCTTATAACCAATGGTGCACTGAGGTAAGCAATAATAACCTTCAGCCTTTCTCAAACTGTGTTAAAAATATTGGTTAAAGACTTGTGTGTGTGAAAGAGAAGGACTTTGGAAAAAGATGTAAAGGATATATCGTTGCTTTTATTTAGTTGAAATCTTAAACGAACGTGAACTAGTGGGATGAGATAAAATAGAAGACATGGCTTTTTTTTTTTTTTGGGAAAAGATATTGCTATATTTTTGGTAACAAACATATATATTTTTAATGGTTTACAAATTTCTTTGCAAAAGTATCTAACGCAGTAAAATATAAAATTAACTACTAACATTTATTAATTAGAACAAAAATTTAGAATATTAGTTGTAAAAATTACGATAATTTATTTATTTAATTAATAATATATTTTAGTGAGTATAAAGAGATTTTTAAAATATATATTCTCAAATTATTTATTTAGTCAATATATATGTCATTATAATTTTAATATTCAAAATGTCACATCAGGTACTCATGACGAACATGGAACGTAAAAGAAGGCATTTGAGCGATGATGGAAGATGTCAATTGTGCAGGAATGGAGATGAATCTCTTCTTCACGCACTTAGGGATTGTCCAGCTGCAGCAGGAATATGGATGAAGCTCGTGAGACCAAATAAGAGGCAACGGTTCTTTCATCTTCCTGTGCTTGGATGGCTCTATGAGAACTTGGTGCTAGATGAATCAGGGCATGTGGAGGCATGGCCAACGCTTTTTGCAGTAACAGTATGGTGGTGTTGGAAGTGGAGATGCATCTATGTCTTTGGTGGAACAGAGAAGTGTCGGGATAGGGTACGGTTTGTGAAAGATAAAGCAAAAGAAGTGGAACTAGCACACGATAATTTGAGAGAGCATAAGGGAAGGGGGGTTCGTATTGCGACGGAGGTATCGTGGCATAGACCGGGGTGTAGTTGGATCAAGTTAAACACGGATGGAGAGTCTCGAGGGAACCCGGGGCCGGCTGCAGCAGGAGGTGTTTTTAGAGATGAATATGGAGAGTGGAAAGGAGGGTTTGCACTGAACATTGGCATTTGCTCAGCATCATTGGCGGAACTGTGGGGGGTGTATTATGGCCTCTGTATTGCTTGGGACAGGGGCTACCGAAGATTGGAAGTGGAGGTTGATTCGGAAAGTTTGGTGGGTTTTCTCCAGACAGGGATTCATGATTCTCATCCCCTGTCATTCCTAGTACGTTTGTGCTATGGCTTCATATCAAGAGACTGGATAGTCAAGTTTTCTCATGTGTATAGGGAGGCTAATCACCTGGCGGATGGTTTAGCTAACTATGCGTTCTCGTTACCTTTTGGTTTGCACGTTTTTGAGTTGGTTCCAGACGAGGTTACCTCAATCTTTGTGGAGGACTTGTGTGGAACCACTAGACTTCGACATGCTTATTTATAGTTTGTTTTTTGAAGTTTAATAAAAGTAGGGGACAATTGTCTCCTGCACCATACCAAAAAAAAAATAGCGCAAAGCAGTGGAGGTAGGTTTTACTGCCCCTGTTTAAAATGTCAAAACTCTAAATTTCTGCCTAGATCAACAATTTTGAAGCATTTGTATTGTAGAGAATTTATGCCAAAAAGTTATGTTTGGTATGAACATGGGGAAGATGATAATGTGGCCGGGGCAGGAATGAGTAGTCATGGCAATGTAGACAATACTATTTGTAGTCAATCAATAGAATCTAGTGGGGGTAATATATATGGTGAGATGGTGCATGATGCATTTCGTGGTTCCACAGCGTTTAATGATTATCACCACGAATATGAAATTGGTCATCATGTTCATGAAGAACCTACCTATGAGGCAAAACAGTTTCACGACATGTTAGAAGCTGCAAATACTCCACTTTATGATGGTTGTCATGAAGGACATTCACGGTTGTCGTTGGCTGCTCGGTGTATGAATATTAAAGCAGCCAATAATCTCTCAGAAAGCTGCATGGACTCACTGGCAGAAGCGTTTTACGAGTACTTACCAGAGGGAAATCATGCAATTAGTTCATACTACGAAACAGAAACTTTGATGCGAAAGATGGGATTGCCGTACTATACATATGATGTATGTATAGATAATTGTATGCTCTTCTGGAAAGAAGACGAGAATTTGGAGAACTGTAAGTCATGTGGAAAACCAAGATATAAGTCGAGTGAGAGACGAAATAGAATATCATTTAGTCGTATGTGGTATTTACCTATTGCTGATAGATTGAAAAGAATGTATCAGTCAGAGAAAACAGCATCGTCGATGAGATGGCACGCTGAGCATGATTCTGAAGATGGAGTGATGTGTCATCCATCTGATGCGGCAGAGTGGAAGAATTTTAAACAATTGCATCCTTCATTTGCACAAGAAGCACGAAACGTCTATCTTGGATTGTGTACATATGGTTTTAATCCATTTGGCATGTCAAAGAATCATTCACTGTGGCATGTGATCCTGACTCCATACAACTTGCCTCCAGACATGTGTATGAGAAGAGAGTATTTTTTTTAGCGGTTTTGAATTCAGGACCAAATCATCCACGAGCAAGTCTTGATGTTTTTCTCCAACCCTTGATTGACGAGTTAAAGAAGTTGTGGTATAATGGAGTTGAAGCATATGATGTGTCATTACATCAGAATTTTAACTTAAAGGCGGTTCTTCTATAGACTATAAGTGATTTTCCGGCATACGATATGTTTTCTGGATGGACAACACATGGAAGATTTATCGATAAAGCTCTGTGAGCAATCTATTTATCTCATTTCATTTCAATAATCTCTTTTAGAGTTCAAATCACTTGCTTTGGATTCTCCTACGGTATACACTGATAAGCTTAAGTGGTACTGGGTTTAGTCCATAGTGTCTGGCCTATTGAATAAGCTAGGCCCTTCATTTCCACTACTCACCCAACAAAAATTTGACATCGAATTTATTTTTGTATTCGTTGTTTGATAAATAAATAACCTAAACATTGAATTGTTAATTAAGAAAGTTTTCTTGGACGCTTTTTGTTAAATCAAAATATACTTTTAATAATATAAAAGAACATATATACAAACGTTTTTATGAAATAAGCGGAAGCTTAGGTAAATGAGAAAACGGATCTAGAAACAGGCTCTAAGAGTTAATCAAATTAAAGCTACAACACAAATGAATTCTTGTAAAAAAGCAGTACTATATTACAAAACATAAAAAGTGTTGTAGAGTGTTTCTAGATCCCAAATTATTTCTAGAACCCAAATTATTTCTAAAGCATAAATGTTTTCTAATCATATTTTAAAAAGATTTTTAAGAGCTACAGATTTTTCTTTTATGTTTTTGGCTCTAGAAATCAATAAACCTAAAATATTTATTTTTTATTTTAGAAAATTTATATGTAAATCACTAAATATTTTATAGTTTACAGCCAAAAGCATATAGCACAAGTTATTTACAACTACATCAAAGAAAATCTATGGTCTTAATTCTACAGCAAAAAAATATAAAGTTACAGTTTTTGCCAATCAACCCTAGTAAAATGGTCAAGAGAATCCTGATTATGGTAAATTTTGGAATCCAAGGATTTGATGTTGTTCCAAGAGCACGATTTGTTTTCTCTATTTGTGGAAAAATAATAATGAAAACGAATGTATTGGTGAGCTATAAATGAGTTGGTTGTTCGTTTACATTTTCTCTTCCTCTGAAAAGTCCACACAGAAATTACGATGATGGTATCCTCACACTTTCTCGGTTTGCTTTTAAAACTTTTCTCGATCAAAGTGAACTAATTCATGGTCACATGACAACGAAGAACCGTCGTAACATGCCGGAGACCGTCCTTCATTAATGCTAGTTTGATTTGGGAGAGAATGATTACTTTTAAAAAGGAAATTAATTACCATAACTTTATCAGAGAACATACTCTCATGTGCGGATTTCTTGGTATATCGCAATACGGATAGTTTTTTTTTGAGTCGTCAAAGTCAACTAGTGGAGTATATGGACATGCACCAAGGGAGAAAATATCAAGATCAAAGTTATTTGCAAACGAGTGTGTGTTTGTGAGAGTTTGAGTTTTTATATATTCCTTATAAAATCATATGCTATATCTTTTTGGAAAGAAGATATGGAATTGCCTTAATGAAGAGCTGATTAAATATTTGAATGATGTGGAGTTTGGATTATCCACATCTCAGCCTTTCGCATGAACCACACAAAAATAGGTTCAGCACGTTTAGCCTTCTTTCAAGACACTATGTAAGAATATCCCCATCGAGTAGGTTGATACAGTCACACAATAATACCTTGACAACCCAAACAAGGACCTCTATGAAAGAACGACAGAAAGCGACGTCGTATGAGACATAACACACCGCGAAAAATACAGGTGGAACTATAAACACTTGTCCACACATGGGCACAAAGAGCATTTAAGGAGTTGAAGGCAAGTGGTGGTTAGGGGGGTATGCGATTTAATTAACCGGCCCATGTAGATTGGTAAGTGTTAGCCGTCTATATCCGTACTTAATAGTATACTTCAACCTCAGATATTTCTACTAAAACCCTTGTATTATAAATTCTACGTACACTCCCACTTATTCTCCTCAAATTCATCAAAAATTCCATTTCTATTCTAACACCCACAAAAATGGCAATTCGTCTTCCTTTGATATGTCTTCTTGTTTCAGTCACGGCCATTGCGGCTGATTTAACACCGGAACGTTATTGGAACTCTGCCTTACCAAACACTCCCATGCCAAACTCTCTCCGTCATCTTTTTACGTCAGGTTAAATTTCTTTTTTACTGCCTATTTCATATTTGTCTCTTCTAGTTCTGTTCTGCACCACTATCTCTTAAGTGAAAAACATAGTTTCTTCCTAATTTCTTGAGGGATCTTCTGTATCTGATTTTCCAAGTTATAAAATGTTTTTCAAAATTAATATTAATTACGGAAGATACAAAAAAAAAAAACTATATATCTGATAGCTCTAAATGCAAGAAAAATATGGTTGGGTACTATTACATGTCCTATATATTTATTTTAACATATATATGAAGATGTGTGTCACAAGCTGATTGGTTACAGAATCGTAAATAATTTGGGAAACTGTACGTTAATACAAATAAATGTCTCGTTACCAAAATATTGCATTGTTTTTCTGCTAATCATGTTAGAATATTATATTGCATTGTTGCAGATTTCACTGACGAGAAAAGTACCAACGTCCAAGTAGGAAAAGGAGGCGTGAACGTTAACGCCGGAAAAGGTAAGCCTGGCGGAGGAACCGCCGTGAACGTTGGAAAAGGAGGTGTACATGTGGACACCGGGAAGGGCAAAGGAACACACGTGAGCGTTAGCGGCGGAAAAGGTCACGGCGGAGGCGTAGGCGTCCACACGGGGAAGCCAGGAAAGAGAACCGACGTAGGAGTTGGCAAAGGCGGCGTTATAGTGCACACGCGCCACAAGGGCAAGCCGGTATACGTCGGGGTGAAGCCAGGACCAAACCCTTTTGCGTATAACTACGCAGCGAGCGAGACTCAGCTCCACGACGATCCCAAAGCGGCTCTCTTCTTCTTGGAGAAAGATATGGTTCCCGGGAAAGCTATGAACCTCAGGTTTAATGCGGAAGATGGTTACAACGGTAAAACTGCTTTCTTGCCACGTGGAGAGGCGGAAACGGTGCCGTTTGGGTCGGAGAAGTTCTCGGAGATCTTGAACACGTTCTCGGTGAGACCTGGTTCGGGAGAAGCTGAGATGATGAAGAAAACGATTGAGGAGTGTGAAGCGAAAAGAGTCGGTGGTGAGGAGAAGTATTGTGCTACGTCTTTGGAGTCGATGGTCGACTTTAGTGTTTCTAAACTTGGCAAGGATCATGTCCGTGCTGTCTCCACAGAGGTACAAGAAAAAGAACCATAAACTAATAAGAAATGCCCTTAGATTGCAATAAACTTGTTTAAAATAGCACATACAAAAAAATTACCAAAATAGCATCAATTAAAACTTAAAATACATTTTTTATTTTGAGTTTAAATAAGATATTAGGATTTAGTATTTAGAGGGTGTTATTGGTTTGTATATTTTAGTGGATTTGAAAATACAAATCAAATATAATGTTATTGGTTCTATGATTTTAAAATCCTTATTCAAATTCATTGTTATTGGTTTTATGATTTTAAAATCTATATTCAAATTCATTGTTATTGGTTCTATGATTTTAAAATATATTTTAAAATCAGGCGTTATTCAATAATAANAGAGGGTGTTATTGGTTTGTATATTTTAGTGGATTTGAAAATACAAATCAAATATAATGTTATTGGTTCTATGATTTTAAAATCCTTATTCAAATTCATTGTTATTGGTTTTATGATTTTAAAATCTATATTCAAATTCATTGTTATTGGTTCTATGATTTTAAAATATATTTTAAAATCAGGCGTTATTCAATAATAATGATTTGCTTGAGGATTTTATTTTAAAATAGATTTGAGTGGATTTGTTAGTTAAAAATACAAAGAAGCAAATACTGAGTTGAACCTTGTTATTTTGATAGTGTATTATTGATTTTCTTAATAAGTGTTTTCTTTCCCCAAGTTTTACGTACATATTATCAATGTTTCTCTAATAATAAGGAAATACTAATATATTAACCAACCATCTCTAACTTAGTTTTACGTACACGTAGACGTTAATATAAAAATTTACCAAAGATCTGTCATAAGAGTTTTGGTCTACAAATGTTTTTTGGAGATTCTACTCCATAAATGACAGAGAGTTGTTTGCCATCATCATGTTTTTCTGAGAAATGTTAAGAATTTTTCATATATTCAAATCTCGATTTTTAATTTTTAATGTGCATCCCCTTTTGCTTATAAGACATAAACGGAGAGAATATTTGTGTGTTAGTTTACGTGTAATCTTTTTAAAAAGCTCTGACGAATCGATAGCTTTTCTAAATAAAAAAAATTTGATAAAGAAGAAGATCTTGAGGAAATTACTGGAACTGAAAATTAACAAACAGAATATGTCAATCAAGTGAGAACGGCAATAATAACAAGTATGTGAGAGATTTTATGTTATCATAATAACATAAGAAATAGAAAATGATAAACCATATGTTGTAGTTTTATATATATTTTCTTTTGTTACAAAGCTGCGTTTATCACAAATCCATTTCGTTGATTTCTAATAATTCAATTATATTGATTTTGAAATCTATTTCATTGATTCTGAAATCTACGTATTTGATTCTAAAATGTGTGGATTTGACAAAAATTTCAAAATCCAAAAAGGATTTCTAAATCTATAAAATCCTAGAACCAATAACCCCCACTNCTAAGAGAATAATTGTCTCGGATACTATTTGGTATTAGTTTTGTAACTAAAGTTTGGATCTGCTTATAAATATTGGGCTTCGTTTAATATAAAGAAAAGTTGATAAAAAAATATCTCTACCCACACGGTTGTTCTTTTTCCCCAAAAGTTGTGATGGCGACGAAGCCGAAACTCCAGCCACTCTCAGCACGCCGTTCCTCGCCGCGTACTCGCTCCGGAGCTGTGCCAGAACCTATTTCCACACCCAATTCCGACGAGATTCCCCGCACGCCGTTCTCCTCCAAGGCCATCACACCCTTAAGCGGAACCCAAGAGTCCGTCTCTTTGTCCGAGTGGTGGCTAAAAAGGAAGGCAAACGGTAAAGGTTTAGGTGTTGAAGGCTTCGGAACAATAGGAGAATCTACAGTGACCCAACGCTTCTCATTAGCAACAATCTCAACAAGACACGACATAACCACTCTCGAAACATCGGATGCGGTTACTGTCTCTCTCAGTGGAATCATCGACCAATCTCTTTCTGTAGAAAACGGGGTTTCATCTGAGGTTTGCAATCGTTTTCTCTTAGGGTTTCCATGTGACTGGAAAGACTACATCGAAGAAGGGTTCGTGGAGGAGGAGAAAGATTACGGCGTTTCCTTTTCTGATATTCCTGTGAATAGGATGGATGATGTTCTGGCTACTGCTTCTCCTTGCTTTCTAGATGAGATCATGGGTTATGCCGTTGACAATCTAAGAGATTTATTGCATCCTGGTGGTACTGGGAAACCAGACAAGGAGCGACACAAGGCAAGAAAGGAGTGTGAGAGGTCAGTCAAGGAATGTCGGACACCAAGAAGGGATGGTGGAGATGAGAAGCGTTTGGTTCTGAGTGATGAGGGAGTGAAGACTAGAGGGATGCTAAGAAGCAGAGAAGAGGATGAAACTGAACGGCACAAGAAGCCAAGAAAGGAGTGTGAGAGCTCAGTCAAGGGGACACCAAGAAGGGATGGTGGAGATGAGAAACGTTTGGTTCTGAGTGATGAGGGAGTGAAGACTAGAGGGATGCTAAGATGGAGAGAAGAGTGTGAAGCTGAACGGAACAAGCCAAGAAAGGAGTGTGAGAGGTCAGTCAAGGACTGTCGGACACCAAGAAGGGATGGTGGAGATGAGAAACGTTTGGTTCTGAGTGATGAGGGAGTGAAGACTAGAGGGATGCTAAGATGGAGAGAAGAGTGTGAAGCTGAACGGAACAAGCCAAGAAAGGAGTGTGAGAGGTCAGTCAAGGACTGTCGGACACCAAGAAGAGATGGTGGAGATGAGAAGTGTTTGGTTCTGAGTGATGGGTGAGTGAAGACTAGAGGGATGCTAAGAAGCAGAGAAGAGTATGAAGCTGAATCGTCCAAGAAGAAGAGAGTTAGAGATCAAGAGAGGAGAAAGAAGTGTGAGAGGTCAGTCAAGGAATTTCGGACACCAAGAAGTGATGGTGGAGATGAGAAGCGTTTGGTTCTGAGTGATGAGGGAGTGAAGACTAGAGGGATGCTAAGACGCAGAGGAGTGTGAAGCTGAACGACTCAGATCGTCCAAGAAGAAGAGAGTTAGAGATCAAGAGAGGAGAAAAAGGTGAAAAACTTTCTACTGAGTTAGCTTCTGTAACGTTTTTGGATTGTTTTCTATTTCTATCCAAGACAACATTGTAAACAAGCAAGAAATGTGACATTTCTTTATTTATGTCTTGCTATTATATTGTCCACAGAAACATCTTAGAATTAGTTTTGGTGGGAAAATGGCCAATTCCACCATAAACTTAATTTATAGCTCCCTGTTTTTTCAAGACCATATGAATCATGCTTAAAACACATGTACTAACAATTTTTTTAAAATATCTCCTAAAATGTTGTCTTTACCATCATTTTCACAAAAAAAAAAATGTAACACATGTACTCCACATCTATCTTCGCTGCCTTCCACTTAAAAGCATTTCTAACCTAAGATAAGGGGAACAAAACCTCAAAATAAAGATTTGAAGGTTGATTGTTCCAATTATGAATATTTAAAAAAATCCTTAAATTTGACCCCGATAACCGATATAGATTTCGTCCAGGTGAACTCGCCCGTAAAACAGAGATTATGAAACTCTTTGCACAAGAGGAATAAAACGTTGAAAGCACACCAGCTTTGGTAATGATCTAGGTGAACCCACCTCTAATCATTAGCAAGATGGCCACGAAGGCCAAGTTACCCCACGCACATGTGGGCTTTAAAGCATTATCCACTAATTTATATTTCCAAGCTTCCTACATCTTGATTCATCTTGATTCTAAGTCACCGGACCGGTGAGCTGACCATCCCGAGCCTCACCATCCGCATTTCCCGAACAAAAGGCATATGTCCCTTGACTCGATCGTACTCTGAACCGTGATCGGAACATCTCTCGTTTCGTCTCGATCCAAATTACCATTGAAGTTTTACGATAAAAACCGCTAAAGACTTGTTTTCTCGTAAAACCTCGAGTTAATCGTATAAAACGGAAACAGTTAAACAAAACAACGGACATTGCCAAACTATAAGATTGACTCGAGATATTTTATATAAACGGCATCGTATCATCGAACGATCCCATCTAAAATCATAAAACGGCTAAGTCACAAAACGGCCCGGAAAGTCCGAAAACGCTATAAAGGCCCACTCGCAACTTTAGACGAGATCCAGCGCAAAGATATGATGACGGTTTACCCATTATTCGCAGAAATGGATAAATGTTAAGTTTGAAGAAAAAACAGAAGTTTTCCAAGGAAAAATAGACAGATCGAGATAAATGAAAAAAATCTGATAAACACGAATTGGGGCGGAAAAGAAAAGACCAAACTCTTAGAGGAGGAGTATATAAGCACAAGGTCGAAGTAAAGAGACGAAGAACTCTTACAACTTTTCTAGATTTAGAACTCTATGCACTTAGAATTTTAGGCTTTATTCTCGACAAGTTCAGTTTCTATGCATGGCACTCAATTACTAGACGAACCCGTCCAGGCATTTTGATCTCTTATCCAGCTCTGTCAATTAAACTACGTTCGGCTTGATCCTCGAAAGGGGTACGTAGGTAGCCTTTCATAAGGTTCAGTCTTAAATCAATCAAAACCTTTTTTCTTATCTTTTTCATCTTTTGTTATCGAGCTGCGACTTAACTAGGTTTAGAGTTTTATGTTGCTAGAGCTAGGTAACTCGCTGACGTCCCCTATGGCCAAAGCCTTTATAATCTCTTGTAATGATCACAACGCTCTTACGCGAATTTGAAATAAAATATACTTTCTTTATAAATTCGTTTTATCATGTTTTCATATTTCTGCATTTATTTGGTTGCTTGTCGTTGGCTCTCGTAGAGATCTAGGTATTCTGGAAAATTAGGATTTTCCTAAGTTTCCTTATTTTACGGAAATCGACAGTGCAAATTTCGGTTCCCACAGTTTTGGCGCTAGAAAGAGGGGGGGGGGGGGTACGGATTACTCTAACTCATAGCCGCAAAACGCTTGATCAAAACGATGTCTGAATATATGAAAGACAAAGTTGCAGCTCGCAAAAACGAAGGTAAAACAACTCCAGCAGCGATTACTCCTATAGCCAACGCTCACGCAAACGCTGTGGTACTTAACAAGAACGAAAACCTAATCGTGACTTTTTGCCACGGGAGGAGCAACAAAACAAGCTCGCGATTTCTCTCTCTGAACACAGGGCAACGATATAATTTATCAAACCCTCTAATGTTTTTTTATTTCCGATTTGGACAAATCTCATTACGTATGGGTTGACCAAAAGACATTTTTCGAGAACTTTTTGGAAAAATAAAACTTGCTCTCCCAGAAACTGAGTTAAAACCTTATGAAACTCGTGGAATAAACCCTAGGTTACTCGTGGAAAAACCCTAGGTTACTTGCGGAAAANTAATTTATCAAACCCTCTAATGTTTTTTTATTTCCGATTTGGACAAATCTCATTACGTATGGGTTGACCAAAAGACATTTTTCGAGAACTTTTTGGAAAAATAAAACTTGCTCTCCCAGAAACTGAGTTAAAACCTTATGAAACTCGTGGAATAAACCCTAGGTTACTCGTGGAAAAACCCTAGGTTACTTGCGGAAAAACCCTATGCTACTCGCGGAGTTGACCGTACCATTCAGCTCGCCAAGACGACGACATGCTGTGCCAAACCAGATCGCCGTCTTGGCGAGCTGGTCGGCCTTTTACCTCGCCCTCGAGGCACTGACTTTCCCCCAAGGGTCCTTACTATCCAGCTCACCAAGCCGGCGAGCTGGCCGATCTCAACCAGCTCGCTGTCTTGGCGAGCTGAACCAGCTCATCGTCTTGGCAAGCTGAATCAGCTCGTCGTCTTGACGAGCTGGTCGGCCTTTCACCTCGCTCTCAAGGCAATGAATTTGCCACAAGTGTCTGTACCATCCAACTCACAACCATGGTGAGCCTGATCGTACTCCAAACGATAATTGCACTGCTTTTCATTATGTCTCAATCGGAGTTTCCTTAGAGATTTTACGACGAAAACATATTGGCTCGACGAATCAGGACTGGACTCACCGACTCGCCAGTGGGCGAGTTGGACATGCTCGACGGATCGAAATGTTTCTATCTCGAATCTCGATCGAAACTCTTCGCGTTTCGTCCCAATCGGAGTAACCGTTGGAACTTTACGATAAAAAACGCAAAGACTTGCTTCGTCGTATAAGTTCGAATTGATCGTCTAAAACGGCAACGGTTGACACAACACCAAAGTTTCCTAAACTATACGAGAGATTTGAACTCTCTAAACGCAATCCGGTTTTACGAAATTATGCCACATTAAGTTGAAAACATCTAATCATAAACGTGTGATGGATTTTTCAACAATATATGAAGCACACCTAGTTAGTTAAGTAAAACCAGAAGTACGAAGAAACAAGACATAAACTTCAATGTTGAAATCCTCTCCTCACTCCGATATTTTTGTTTGTATTTCGTCGAACACCGACTCATACGAAAAGAAGTCAAAAGACGAAGAACGAAGAAGAGACAGTCTCAAATCATCGATGAAACTAAGGTATGTCTGATTTTAAAATTTTATTAGATTTCTAATTTCTCGTAGGCAAGGAATGAAAACGTCTTGTAAACTGCCGTAAAACCTAGGGAACTTTGAATTTAGGGAGATAGTCTAGCATACTAAGTCGTAGGCAAATTTTGCCTATGTCGATCTATTGTTCTCTAACTGTTCAGGCGGAACTCGCAAACCAACCAATCTCTCGTACAACCAAGAAACGATCGCCACGCATTTGAGCGTACTAATCTCATTTCCTAAAGAAAGAAGGAACTAGAGACACTGGCGTCGTCTTAAAACCGGCGCATTCCTAGATATTTTCGTAAAACAGACATACTCCAATCTATCATCAATCCACCATGGTCTTTAATCGACCCAGATTTTCGATCATCCCAATACTTCAAAAGAAATTCATCTGTTTTCTTTTTTCTTAAAAAAAAGAAAGGAGTAGGTGTCAAAAAACATTTTTCCTCGCATCAAGAAAATGCTTTCTATAAAGCAAACTCTCGCAAAAATAGGCGAAAAAATATTCGGACAATGCGATGCCTCGTCAAAATCATCCCAAAAGCAAATGACAATCTAAGATTCGTTTAGACGGTAAGAACTGATCCAAACCATCTGGGAAATAATCTCGAGGACTATACAGCATCTCTCATCGCAATCATGCGTTTAAAAAACCTCTGCCAAAATTTAGAGTGAAACTCGATGATTCACCAAGTCATAAAGATCTTTTCCAACTTGATAAAATAAGTTTAGTATAAGAGTCAAAAAATTATACGAGAAATATTTAGGCATCAAAGCATTGCTCTCAGTTTTCGTTAAACCAAGTGAGTCATGGAATAATATCAAAAATATTTGCGACAGAGAATAATCAAAAACACAAGTAACAGCAATAAAGAACATGTCCTCCTTGCTCGCCGAGTGATCTTATTGTTGGTTAACTGATTCATTCCGCTCCAGAAACCCGTTAAAACGTTTCACGACTAGATCTCGGTGAAATAAACTTCGGTAAAACTCCTTGAGTGACTCCAAGAAACTATCACCAAAGAATCAAAAACAAAGCAGAAAGGTTGCTCAATCTCTAAAGTGGCGGAAGCATCGTTATTTTGACATCTACGTCGTGTCAATTTACTAACTTCGTCGCCTGTTACTTTTGTAAGAAATCCTTCGTATAGTCAAAGACCTTGACGTACGAAGTAACTTTCGAAAGTAAACATACCATGTTTTGCGAGAAGTACTTTCCATATAGCAAAGCTGTATGATCCGACATTGGACGACCAATCTAAACTTTGTTTCCTCGCACCACGATCTGAAAGATCTCATTCTTTAGCCATGTGGCTCACGGGAATCTGCTCTCATTCCCCTCGATTACATCCGATTATGAATTCACCTCGCAACTAACTCCGCATGTGAGCTGCATCGGGCTTCTTAGGCTTTGTCTCCCTCGGATAAAAAGTAAACAACTTCCATACGAATAAATGAAAGATTATAACTTTCATCGTTTAAATCAAACCTAAAATGGAAAAACGTTATCCACGACCATTGACACACTTGGCATATCAATCTCGACAAACGCTACTTGGCCCTTGTCCTATCACGCTTCACTTTGATGTCAAGCTAGGTTACAGCCCCTTTAAGGGCGATCCAAACCGACTCGATCTTATTGATAGCACGCAAGTGTCATGGTCTAATCCTTTACCAACTACGTCCTTGGCTATGCGGCTGAATACAAACTTCACACCAAGCCAAAACATTCAACGGAAAATGTA